GCACATAATCAAGATATGAATCAAGAGCAGCTCCCACTTCGTTCAAAAAAGCTCATGTTTCCCTATAGATTAACTTACATTCAATAAATTATTTTTTAAAAACCAATTAACTAACCTTCATCTCGTCAGAAGTCGATATTTTAGTCAGTTCACTCAGTGGAAAGCAATCCCCAGAAGAATTAAGTAAAAACGCATGAGCTTTCTTATCATCAAAATACTGCGAAAGCCTTTCATCAACCGCTATAGGAGCGACCTGAACAGTGTGCAAGGTTGTATATTTAAAATAGGTACGAATAAAGCTGTCGAAAGACCACAGTTAAAACTACATAATTCAATGGCAGAAAAAATTCTACTATTGTGTAACTTTATTTTCACGTATCTAGCTAAATCACTGAAAACCAAACCAGGAAGTGAGAAATGCTCTTATAAATCAACCCTAACAGTAAAGCTTTCATCCACACACAGGAAGGCGATTACCAATAATTATAGGCTGATTTATCGGCAAAATGTGACGCCCTTCATAGCCCCGAGGCCTTTACTTATTACACAACAAATCTTGTTAGTATGACCCAAATTTCATTAAGCAGCAGCTCTATTTATTATCTCACGGCTTAGCCAAAAACGAGCAATTCTTCTATTCACGAATCAACCCCCCGCAAAGGAAGTGAATCAGAAAAAGTCAGGTTAAAAAAGACATCACATTATTTTTAAAAATTCACTAGCTGTGGTGAAACAAACGTTCATGATATTCTTTGAAGTTATAAGCATGTAAAAGTACAGGTCTTTCACTTACCTCTTGTTTCATGTCAGACGGGTAGCACAATGTTGGGAAACAATTCCAATAATAGTATTGATACTTTTTCAGATCGGCATACACAGTGAAAACAAACGTCGTCAGATATTCTGGATGCTCAAGCCATTCTCCTGATTCAATGACATGCCATATCTGAAACCTAAAAAAGTTGTAGGAATCTTTCTTTTCTCATGGATTTCATCGCCAAACCTTAAAATGTGAAAAAAAAAATCAGTAACGCTTGAATGAACCTTCTGCGCCTCCGATTTCAACAAACTTCTACGATCCAATCCTTTGAAGCTCTCCAGTGTATTGTAGAGTAATAATCGCCCATGATAAGCATTAGTATAGCTTTGTTCGAAGCTTTCGTGTCCAAGTGACAACCAGCAATAGTCTCCCACTGTTTCAACTAAAAAATAAACAACTGGTCTGATCCATCCTTTGAAACATCTTAATTTTTTCTATTTTGGTCATGTCTGAGCCACCTAATGACTCAATAAGGAAGTGATACCCAAAAAAGCAAACATGGAATAGTTATCTTGTTTAATTCA